CTTTTAACAGGTAGAAACGTCCGGCAGAACCAGGCTCGTGGAGGGGTGGCCATCTGCTGCGACCTGTTGGGGTGGGTCCTCATATTCCACATAATGCTGCTTTGCTTTTTAATAGTGTAAATAAATATCTGTCTTTTTAGAAAATAGGTAGTTAGTACCTTAGGATAGAGCCAGCCTAGTTTTTTCTAGTCTTTATGCAAAGCCTTTTACACCTTGGCTCTATCATCTGTGTGTACAGGAGAGTGGTATTACTAACTAATTATGAGTACAAAAACAAGTAGCTGTATTTCCTAATACACTTTCTTTGCGATATGAATAATATCTACCACAATTACACTTGCCTACAAAGAAATGCAGCATCCGCTTTGTTTGGGAGTAGTAATTTCCTTCTTTCCCTCTGCTTCCATCTCCGCATGACATCAGCCACTTTCCCCGTTCCTGTCGCCGGTTTGTACTGTGTTTCTGGGAGGCCTGCCTGGTAATCGCGCTAGCAATATCTGCCTGCTGTCTCCCTCCGCCACCTGTTATTCATGTGTGCTCGTAAACATTGCCTGTGGTGAAATATTAAAATGATTATCACAGGTGAGAAGCAGATTCCCAGTGGGCGCAAGGGAAGCCCGAAGTGCAAGGGGGAAAAATTGCGCTTTGTGCATCTCAATAGGGAACAGTTCTGAGATTGATCCACACCAGATCAATCTTAGAAGCGATATTGGTTGTTGGAGTAAATGGCGATTAGATTTCAGTCACTGTTGAAGGCCAGTCAGACAATATTAACCTGTACAAGTAAAGTAAGATGAGCACACACACACACACACGTATTGGGCTGTTTTATAAGAAATGAACAGAGGACTAAGACATACCCATGCAAGGACACAGTGAGACACACGCTGTCACCATTAACATATTGCATCATCAAAGACAAACCCTATTGCGTTCCCCAGATATTTCATGTTGCTCTTCCCTTCTCGTCTGCCTGCTTCCGAGAAAACGGCGACACAAACAGATGCACAGACATACTGTACATATACATACACAAGCTCTTGATGTCTGGATGCACAACGCAAGCTGATCTACTTCCTCTCTGTATTCTCTCGCTTTCTCTTTCCCAAATGGCTCATTCACATACACCGCCACCATACTCTGTAGCCACGGTGCTTTCCAAAGCTAGTGTCAAGAAGCTCCTTTCATTGGCAAAAGTAGCAATAGCATATTGCTGCGCACTGACCTAATTTTATTTAGCAAAAATGGAAAGGTGCTATAGAGATCAAAAGCTTTAAAAATGAAAAGCAGCATGAAGTCCTTCTCTCTCATCTTTCCCATGTATCTCTTTCTGAAAGCCCACGTAACACTGTAGTCTACCTAATTTCTGCAGGATGCAGCCAAAACGACAGGTGGGTGGCATAAATTTTATGACAACAAGGGACAGCTGTCACAGCAGAACAACAGTCTTGATTTTCTTTTCTTTTTTTTTTCGAGTGAAACAGCAATAGGATTTCATTGTTAACAGTGCATGCATATTTGCAAATCCAGGATGAAATAAAACACATTTGCATGTAAAATGGATCGTGTACCTGGTGTAAAGGTGTAAATTAGTTTCTGTCATATTAAAGGAAGACGTGTCGCTTGTGCTTTCTTTGTCTTAGAAAAGCTTGTGTAAAAAATGTAGCCCAGCTCCAGCCTTAAGAGTCCTCTCCCCTCATTCATTCTTAAAGGCGCCTCACTTTTAAAGGCCTTATTTGCGTCCTGTGAAGTATTTATATTTACAAGCAGACTCTCAGCCATTACTTATGCATGCTGTTTCCATCTTACTCAATAATTCACAATGCATCCTCACCAGATGGGACAAGGTAAGCATGGCCCAGAGAACTCTCTCCCTTTCCGTGTTTTTTATTTCCTTGTAATTCTGCTTTGGGAGGAAGGATGAGACAATAAAAAGGTGGTTATTCTACTTTCAGCTCTACAAATGTTAGGCTCGGCTGTGGTTCTACTAAACAAGATGCTTTGTTGTTGTTTTTTTGGATGTGTTCGTAATTTCACAGTCCTTTGTATAAACTGCCTCTAAAATGTTTGCCCATAAAATAGAATTTCTGTATAGTCTCCAGTTGGCACGTCTTGGTTTTATTATTCATGCTGTCAGTTCATTCATTTCATTTTAGCTATCGGCGTTATTAATACACTCGTGTTGTTTACGAAACCGTGAAAGAGTGATCAGTTTTTTGGGTTTCTGTTTTTTCCACGTCCTGTATGATAGCCTTTGGAAAAGGTACGCAATATAACATGTCACGCAATGTTCATGTTTAAAGCGTAAGCACAGCAGCTCCGAACTTGGCATGTTTTGCAATATCCATTTTGCATAAATCAGCAATCCTCCCCTAAAATCCTCCACAGCAGCTGCATAAATCTCACCTTGTGTTCAAAGTTGCCTATTTCATCTTTGAAATCAGGAAACATACCTTGATCACCATGAGAGTGGTAGGTCAGGTAATTGTGCGATAACAGTGGTTTTAATGTGTAAAATCAATCCAGTTATTTCACGCTAGAGTAAAGCCAAAGGAGCACCCCATTGTGGGCGATCAACTCTTTAGCTCACAGCCGAGATTTCCTTTTTTTATCCTTCACAGTCGACTACATCTCAGAGACTGAGAAGACTGTGTTTAGAAGCAGGTGACTGCGCAGCTTAACTGGCATTACCAACTCTATACTGCAAGCTGCTTTAAATCAAAGTGCCCACCAAATAGGGTCATGTTGTTACTGCCTGTGTTTCTGTACATTTGAACATTAAAGGCAATGACAGTCTTTTGCCTTGAGGCGCTTACTTCAGAGATTTCTATTGTGAGTACCTTGTTCGTAATGGCTTATAGTTTTAGCTTAGTGAGCGCACAATATTGCCTTAGGGGAGTTTGTCATGCTAAACCTGATGTAAAAGTACTGTAATGGGATGGATTAGTATGTAGACATAAATGTTGCATAACATGGAGAGCCGTGTGGTCTCTGAGCTCCTTATTTGGGTGGGGATGACTCACTTGGGGGCTTTGAGAAAAAATAACCCTCCTCTGGTCGGAATTGAGAACAGATTTTACTCTTTTGAACATCACTGAAAAAAAGGTTCTTAGCAGGACACACTAACTCTGCTTACCTTAAAAGCGGCAACATAACCTTGTTACTAATGCTGTGTGTACTTGTGTTGTGTCTCTGTGGCTCTGCCAGGCTTGTACAACTCCGCAGACAGCTGGATGATCGTACCTAACATCAAGCAGAACCACTACACGGTGCACGGCTTGCAGAGTGGCACCCGTTATATCTTCTTCGTCAAGGCTATCAACCAAGCAGGAAGTCGCAACAGTGAGCCAGCCCGCCTCAAAACCAACAGTAAGTGAAGGCGCATGTTACACTTCTGCCAGCCTTTTCATGAATATTTACAAGCCGTGTTATTTGGGTTTGGATATTTAATACAGCTAAACGTTTGCATCTCTCTCTGTATCATATGTGCAACATAATGTTGTCACGACTGAGTGTTTTTCCCAAAGGATTGTCTTTGATTTACAAGTGAGTGGCAGATTTGCTGCTGATTCAGAGCTAGTTTAGATTATTACATTGTATATGCATACATGAAAGGAGAAAGCAGCAAGAGTGCCAGCAGTGCCTAATGTATTTCTGTCACAAACACTCACTCACACTCAAAGCAATTCACTGTATGTCGTGCAATCTTCACTGAATAATTTTAGTCTAAATGTATGAATAGTTAAAGAAAAAACAAAAAGTATAATGTAAAAAAATGTTAAGGCATATTTCCAGAAGGTAGGCGTTCATCATTCTCTGATGTGGAGAATCAAAAAGTTGACAATTTTTCAACAAAAAGTATTTATGTCAAAAATGTGTTTGGACATTTCTTGAGTAGACATTTGATATTACGATGTTCTTACAAGTGCAATTCCAAAAAAGTTGGTACAGTGCACAATGTAAATAAAGACAGAATTTGACGTTTGCAGACCTCAGAAACCCATATTATATCAACAATACAACACTGAAAACATATCATTACCTTTTGGTGTGTTGACGCCATCAATTTCAAGAAAATTGTAAACACTGTAAAAATGGAAAATTATGGCTTTATGACTGTACATGTACTTGCATATGAGCCATCTAGCTTAATTGTACTCGGCATAGAAGGAGCCTGGAAAATGCTTCATACCTTCCTTGGTCAGTAGCGACTTGTTGGCTGTACATACAGACTTCATATATACATACGCTATGATGATTATAGTAAGATCTAAAGTTAATCTCTGACTACATCGTCCATCAGCACAATACCACTACAAATTCTGCAAAATGACACAAAAAGTATCTTACATAGATAGATAGATAGATAGATA